CGCCGCCCTATGCTGGCCACCAGCAGTGGACACTGGGACCGCCAGTCCTCTGTTTTTTAAGTGAAATGAAAATAGCCTTTTTCTCTGGTTATAAAAGTACCATATGCTCCCACATTATACAGACATAGGGAGTGAAGTAGAGGGTCCCTCCAGGTGGTTTGCTTGTCCTCACAGGCTTCTCTGCTGCACAGATGTGGGCTCTCAGCAGAGGCAGGGCAACACTGTGCACAGAGACCTCCTTGGTCAGGTGTGGGTATGCCATCCCCGCTGGGACCCCCGAGCAGAATTCTTGTCTGCGGGCACCAAGGAGTCTGCGGTGTTGCTCAGACTTTATCTCCTGTGCCGTGTGGAAGAAACAGTAACACACTTGATTATAGACCAACCCTCTGGGTCCCACTGAGGGGGGCGCATGTCAACCATAAGGTGCTTTCTGAAATCTGAAATAGTCTGAACTCTGGAACACATCTAGCCCCAAGAGTTTTAAGATGAGGGATGATGGCTGTATCACAATTTATTTAAGTAAGGTTCTATTGATGGACAGCAGAAACGAATAGTGTGTGGATTTTATATTCAGAATAATAGTGTAGTGAGTGGTTGTGTGGACACGTGTTTGCACATTCATGTGAGCACTTCAGTTAATACTGAGAAGTTACTTTCCAAAAAGATACACTGTGTACACTGCGACCAACCGACCAGCCGTGTAGGAGTGGCCATTCCCACATCCTCAGCAACCCCAAACATTAGCTGTCTCTAAGGGTTTTCTTAAATCTATCTTTGAGTTTTTATCCGTCTGATTGGTTAGAAATAAATGTGTGTGTGAGAGAGGAGGGGAGAGAGAGAGGGGAGGGAGATCTAACATTTCTGTAGTAAAGAGTGAAGTTCATCTTTTCGTGCTAACCACTGTGTTTTCTTTGGGTTACATATTTATACCTCTTGCTCCTTTTTCATTGGGCTATTTTCTTAGTCTGTTTATAAATTAGCATATGAAGCCATAAATTATATAAAGTATTTATAAATTAGTTTAGCAATTAGAAATATAAACTGTCACATGTTGTTAGTATGTTTGCAGTTTATGGTAATGAGGTTTAAAAAGTTATTTTTCTACATCATATTTTTATGTAGATAATAATGTGATACTTGGCCTTATCTGACTTATCAGGCCTAAAAACTTCTCTACCTTTACTTATGAAACCTAAATTCCCTTGAACTGTTCTGTGTACATTTAAATCACTCATTTGAAATTTTTTCAGCGAAAGCAGGAATTGAGTATTTTTTTACCAGATAATGAGCTAGTGTCCATGCCATTTATTTCATCTGTTTCTTGTATTATTACTCGTGAGTGGAAATTTCACTTGGGAGCTGGATGAAGAAGCCCAGAGGTACCGAGTTAGGAGTCCCTGGAGGTCTGGATGGTGGAGACTGTGGAGAGGTGGGGCACCCAGGAGCCCCCTGTGGGCCCAGGCCTTTGCTCCCAGGGAGCGGGAGCAGATGGGTGAGATGCTGCTGGGAGGAGACGGTGTGTGATGGGGCAGGACAGGTAAGAGTGGGTACAGGTGCTGGAGCCCAGATGCACCTGGGCAGGGAGACCTGTGGAGGCCAGAACGTGTGGGAAGCAGAAAGACACGGACCAGGGAGGCGCAAGAAGGGAGGAACCCAGGCACTGAGACCGAGCAGACTGCATGACTGGAAGAAGTGGTGTGTTTTCACTGTGTCCAAGGCCTCACGTCAGTCTGAGCTGCCCTTTAAAAGGCTGAGGCTGTGGCATGCAGTATTCTGGGGGTTTGGAGGGTGGGCACTGTGCTCCTCACGTTTGGGCAATTTTTCAGGTAGAACCTTTTGCCAGCTTGTCTGAGGCTGTGCAGAGCTCGGTGCCCCGACTGCTCATCAACCGGGACTTGGTGGGGCCCTTTGCCTGGCGTCCTCGCGGCACGGATGTGGTCCAGCTGGGGGATGTGGTTCAAGGCGTGGAAAGGCTGGTGGAGCTTCTGGGCTGGACGGAAGAGTTGCAGGAGCTTGTCCAGCAGGAGACGGACAAGGTACAGACTGTCAAGCAGGGTCCTCTGAAGAAGGGCTGTCTTCCTCACTGCCCAGGGTCTGGGTCCACCTGATTTGGAGTTCTGGCTGGCTGAAAAGGGACAGAAATAGCGGATATTGGCTATTACTCCTGTCCCGGCCACTGTCTGGGGCCTTCTGTGTGCTTATGAATTGGGTGTTGGGACTGACTCATCATCACCGGGTGGAGATGAAGACAGTCGCGGAGCTGCGACTTGGTCCAGGCGGACTGGGTAGCTCTCACTGCAGCCTTTTGTCCCCTAAATAAAGCATCACCAGGCTTAGGTGCGGTTCTGAGATGAACTTTGAGGAGCGGAACTTGTGTGCTGGTATGGGACGAAGCCCCACCTCGGGATGCTTTCAGGAGGTGGTCAGCGCAAGGGCTGCTGGCCTGGGACAAGCTCCTGAGGGTAGAAAGCCAAAGACCCCTGATGCTCTCGAGGTGTCAAACATGTTCCAAGTGAAGTTTCCTATGAGAATCAGTTAAGCACATGTGGCCCTGGTGTGAGTGCCTCTTGTCTAAAGGAGGCAGCATTGAGTACCTCAAGTCCAGTTGTCTCCAAAAGGATCATATGACGCGGCCCTGGGGCTGAGGTCTTGGGAAAGCTTTGCCCTTCAGCTGTGAGTGCCTCAGGGCTCAGGGCTGTTGGGTGGGGACTGACCAAAGCCCCCAGCCTCTGGCTGTAGCCTGGTTTCTTACCATGTTGAACCAAACAAAGAAGAATTTGAGGCTTACTGAGGCCAGGAGGCTTCGTGCTATTTCCACACATCTTAGACATTGTGGCCACTGGTTTTTCTGGCTCTCCTTTCCAGAGTTTGGCTCTAATGGCTAAGATGTAGGCTGATATCGCTCCTTATCTCATTGTAAATGTCAAAGTTTCGCTGCTGGGTGGTTTTGTAGAAGTAGACAAGGCAGGTAGCACGGAAGCCTGTACTTTGCACATCAAAAGAAGAGGCGGTAAGTGGCTTGGTCAGATCCTGAGGCAGCTTCTCGGATCTGACATCCTTTTTCCATACAAGACTGAGTCATGTGACCCCCTGGGATTTTTGGAAGCAGTCCTACAGGATTTGACCTGTGCGATTTTACAGACTTACGGAAATTTATGTAAGGTGGGTTCTGGTGTTAGGGGTTTATGTATATAATGAAAGAGCTGCTACCCAGAAGTAAATGTCGAGGGAGGAGCCGCAGTCTGTCCTGGGGTCACCTTCCCCAATAGTGCCCGTTTCTGAGCATTGAGCTTCAGCACGTCTCACCTGGCTGGCCAGCTGGACTCGCCCTGCTGGCATCGTGTTACCTGGGCTCAACAGCACCATTGGCAGAGGCAGAAAAGCTTTTGTTTTATGAAATAGTTTGAACCCAAGCCCTGAGGTCTGTGGGTCTGATTCCCTTACTCCTCTGTTCCAGCTCCATGGACAGGACAGATAGAGTGATGGCGGGTCCCCCCTCCCCTTCTGGGACCGGAAATGGTTCCAAGGAGTCCCTGCGCACCTCTGAGCAGAGTCTTGGCTGAACCAGAACCTGCGGCCTAAGGAAGAGGGTGAGGCCGCCCAGGTCCTGAGCTCCGTGCCAGTGGGTCATGTCATGCTCCAGCTGTGGGCCACCCCAGTTGCGGGCGCCAAGCTGCCCGGCTCTTTTCTGTGGTTTGACTCTTCAGTCTGCTGAAGCTCTTGATGCTGAAAAAAAGCTTTCTCCTGACAGTGACCCTCTGGAACCCTAATGGAACAACAGGACACTCAGACCGGATCTGCTCTGTGTCTGGGTCTCCGTCAGAAGGGCGGGCTCAGCATCTCTGCCCCTTAGACTGTCTGGGGCAGAGGGGCCACAGCCACTCCCAAGGCATGGTCCTGGGTCCCACGTAATAGAATCGAGACCTGTAGCACGCTGGCCTCCTTAGTAGGGTTATTGTTAGTTGGAGAAACTTTGTGCATATCTGGCATGAAATAAACTCTTTGGTTTCCTCAAAGGAATGCAGGTGTTAATGATGTGGAAAGGAGACCTTGGGTGAGCATGGATATTCCCCACAGTGGAATGACCCAAGGATGGAGAACACGCCCCTGGCTCCACCCTGGAGAGGGGCCTAGTGCTGTTTCCCATGGAGCCCCAGCACCCCTCACCACCGCGCCTCCTCCGCTCTACCCTGATGCTGCTTGCCTCAGCCTCCCCCCGAGAAACTTTTCTGTTCTGGCAGCTAATCAGCACCCCAGTCCCCACTCTGCCCCGCCAGACCTTCCCAGTAATGCCCCCAAATTAACCTCTGTGCTGCGGAAGGCGTTACTCACTCAGAAACCTTGGCTTGCCTCTGGCCTGCCCATACTTCCTGCACAGGCTCCTTCTGCTGGGGTTGCCCCCAGGCCCAGCTTGGACAGCACCCAGGCTCACCTTGCTGATCCCTGGCTCCTACCTTGTGTGTGGTCCCTCCTTCTAGGCATGGTTTCCCTACCCATGGCACATGTAACAGACTCAGAGGGGATCTGGGGACTCCTCAAGAACAGAGAACAGGACTAATGATCTAGGAAAAAGGCCAAATTCTGAAAAGAATGAAATGAAACCAATACACATGCTCTTGCTTGAGACTCTTTATTCTAAGATGATGTTTTCTGTGACATTTTGTGGCAGGTGACAGAAATCCAAACTTAGGGCTTTACGAAGTACACTTCCCTTCATGTATTTATGGTTATGGACTACACCAGTGGGAAGGTCAGTAGTCCACTGTCACAACCAGTGAGAGCTTGGGCGCTGTGGACACTATAGCAGACAGCTGAGCGAGGACCACGGATGCATAAGAGGCTACCAGTCCTGAGCTCAGTGGGGACACGAAGAGCAGAGTGTACCTTGGAAATATGTTTCTGACGTTAGTACACACAGCTCTAGCCAGTTCTTTTCCTGTGAACTGCAGCGCTTGGAAGCTCTGGGAAAGCCTGCCAGACCTGGACATGCTTGTGTGGGCCCCCGCCAAGCCTCTGTCCCCAGGCAGCAGCCTCTCAGCACACACAAGACTACTTCATCTGCGGAAATCAAGGCTGAGTTCCCAGAGTTGCAGCGGGACAAGGCCCTCACAGTCCTAAAGCTAAGAAATTGGGCCAGAGACAAATCATTAACAGAACTTTGGAAGTAAAGAGCAAGGGATCTCCAAGCTGGAGAGAGGGACGTGGCTTCCCCGGGTCACAGTCCCAAGACATCTCTGGAAGCAGCACCAGTTCTGAAGGGAGAACAGAAGACTGCGGTCCTCAGTCGGGGTCAGAGTCGGGTTCCGAAGAGAGCTGCCCCTCCATGGTCTCGGAAATGGCATCCTGCAGGGATGTCAGCTGACCCCGGGGACTCATCCCCATGGGCTGGATGACTCTGTGCCTGTGAGAAAAGCACGGTGAGGTGGGGAAGGGGCCTGGCAGAGGGCGGTGGAAGTTGTGCTCACCCTGACGACTTCCTAGTGCTCCACCGGGCTGTTCCCATTTACTGGGGAATCCCAACTAGTACCCAGTGGCTTTGGGACCTTAGTCTTAATTTCTCGAGATCTCAATTTTCATCACCTACGAAACAAACGACACCAATCTCAAGTCTAAGTCTTTCCTGGGGCAATTCCTTTGTTTGAAACCTCAGGAACGCAGCCTTGCCTAAGCCCACCTCTGACCCCACCTCTTGGGGCTCACAAGACTGGACACAGGCCTGGGGTTCTGTTCTCCCTTCTCCCAGCCATGGGCCCCTCCTTGCCTCACCACGTACCTAGAGAGCTTGTCAAACATGTTCACCAGCTTCATGGCCTCATGCTCCTTCTGCTCCTCCGTCATGCCCTCCATGGGGTTGGGCGGCTTTTCCTCCACCCTCCCGGTCACTGGGTTTATGCTGTTTCCCAGGGGAGGGGGTGCAGGGAATGCATTAGTGACTCTCTAGGACAGGAGGCCGCTGCACAAGGTGGGCAGAGTCCCACACGTTCTGCTTGGGCCCGGACTGGCAAGAAACCCATTCTCCTGGGGGTGGCAGGAAGCCTCCCTCCAGGAGCAGCCGTGGACCAGCTCCTGCCACCTGGATCTCCTGGTCCCCCAACTGCCCAGCCGCCTTCAGTCCATGTTCTCAACAAAACGTCCTGACATCAGGGTACATCACTTATGCAGTCAGGGCCTAACTCGCCATGTCCTGCCCATCTGTTCTCCTGTCCCACCCGCCCGTGGCTCCAGCCGGCTGTGGAAACAGGGACTAGGCTGAGTGAGGGAGTCAAGGGTGTAGGGGCACACACCTGGCCTTGGCTTCCTTGTACTCATCCGTATCCGTGTCCTCGTCCTCCGAGTACTGGCCCTCAGGCCGGCCCCCCGCCATGAGGCCCCTGGCAGCCAGGAGGCCGGCGGCATTCCCGTAGCCCGTGTACTTGATGAACCGGGGCACTGAGGGGCAGGGCAGAGGTCAGTGTGCGAAGGTGGCTGGGAGGGAAAGGCGGGGGCTGGATCGCAGCACTCACCACTCTCGGAGCACAGCACAAACAGGAACTCGGCGGCCACTCTCTTCACGTCCGTGTCCAGGTGCGTCATGAGGCGGACAAGCTTGTTCCGCAACAACTCACCAACCTCGGGCCGGGTCCTCACGTCCCGCAGCGGGGGCAGCACCTGGGGAGGCAGCCTGGGCCTGCAGAGGCTGGGGTCTGTGGGGGGGGCGCCCCAGCTCCACCCCCCGGCCCCGCCCATACCTGTGCCTTCAGGAACTTCCTGGCGGGCCGGTGCACGCGGGCACACTCCGTCAGCACGCTCAGCACAGGGGCCACGCTTTCCTTCAGCCTGTGCGTCTGCAGAGGAGCCTCTGTCACTGGGGCTGTGTCCCCACCTGACGCGAGGCCAGGGGTGGGGTGGTGACTGATGCGCACGCGCGCCCCACCCCCCCAAAGGCCCGTCCCGGCAGGAGGCATTCAGGAGAGGCCTTGCCACGGTCAGTCAGCTGAGGGGCCAGGAATGGGCAGTGGGGAGCTGTGTGAGCTTCAAGAGGGCCACAGCGGGAACTTCCCTGAGGCGTGCTCATGTGTGTTCTGCGACTTGGGCAAGTCACCCAGCTACGCCACCCTCCTTACCTGTACGCCAAAGTTGTTCGCGGCCGTTAGCACAGCAAGGACACACGACCGGTCCTCAAAAGACAGCGCGCAGAACACAACAAAAATCCCTCCTCTGTGGGCTTCACAGACTCAGACAGCAAACAGCTGCTGGCCTCCCCCCACTTACCTCCCTGGACCCTAAGCCTAGCAGCAGTCGCGGTAGGGACAGTCACAGACGTCACATTCGACGCACGTGACTCCGCTCCCGGCACGCACGAGCAACATGGGTTCCCAAGGGGTCCACCCAGTCTCACTGCAGTGCGGGCTGCGGCCTGCGTGATGTCTGCGAGCTCCCAGAGGAGCTGGTCAGAGGTCTGGCCCCCAATGTCCTGCGTGCAGGAGCCTCTGGCTCAAGATGCCTCTGGGTCCCCTCAGGGATCCCAGACACAACTGCTCGTTCCCAAGAGCTGCTGAATGTCGCAACACTAAGACTCTTAGGCCACAAGCAAGGACTCAAAAGACATCCACAGACAGCTGTAAAAAGTAAGTTCTTTGTTTGACTTAGAAAACTCATCACGATAACCAGAAAAAAGAAAAAACCCGCAAAAGCACGTGTGAGTCTGCGTGCGTGTGAGAGACAGAGAGAGCGTGCGCGCGCACACGCGCGCCCCCGTTTCTCAGGGTCTGCCAAGCTGGACCACAGAGCAGCCGCAGAAATCACCCGAATCACCCTGCCAGGCTGATCTCCACTCTGCAATCTGGACTGTTAAAGCAGCGACCATGGCTGCCTGGGAACGTCAGAGCCACTGAGGAGCCCCCACATCAGGTCCCTCTGCCCACCTGGTGCAGACGCTTCTCCAGGAAGCTGAGGAGAACACGAATCACATCCATGTTGGCTCCTAGGAACTCCAGGGAGCCTTCTCGCGGCTCCAGGGTAAGGAGAACATCCAGACACTTAAGGGGCAAGTTCCCCAGGAGGTTCACCGCGTGCCTAAGGACAGACGGGGAGGAGAGCTTGCTGAGTCCGATCCCCAGTGTAGGTACAACCCTTGATGCCCCCACAGAGGCCACACATGACAGGAACTAGTGACTGGGGGCTTGGCGACAGGAACCAGAGCCCAGAGCTGAGGGCAGTGTTTCCACTCGGTGGGGTGAGCTCCTAAGGAAGGGGGCACTGTCTGCAGATGCCCTCCCTGCCAGGCTCTGTCTGGGCTGAAGCACCGCAGACCATCTCTGGAAAACTAGAACCCGCCTAGGCACAGGTCACGGAGACGGAGAGAAGGAAGCACGCTACCCTGTGAGCACAGCACCACCCGTCGCTACTACTCCGCTTCCAGAGAGACGTTCCCATTCTCAGATCCGTACCCCTCACCCTGGTCACATGCTGACGTCGGTCCCAGCCAGGGCTGGGAACCGCTCGGCAGACACACGAGCACACCTCCCTTCCATCTAACAGGCCCCCCTCACCCGTGGAACTCCTCCGTGCGGTCTCCAGCAGCAGCGACCATCACACAGTGCCGCAGGATGGTCCCCAAGTGCCGGTAACGGGCAGCATCTTCCTGACCGAAGAGAAAGGGGTTCCCGTGAGCGGAAGCCCCACTCCGGGGTCATGTACACGGACCTTGACTCTCCTCTCCCGCACATATCACCCCGTCCTCTTCTACACACCCTGACGACATTTCCTCAATCCAGTGTAGGTCCTCTCAGGACAAAGTCACAGTGCACTCCAGCCCCACGCTCATGGCCTCCCGGTGCCCCAAACGCCCTCCTGCCACGCTGCAGGAGCCACACAGCCACACACACTCCATCTCTCTTAGAAACGTCCTTCGGGCCCTCTGCCCACAACGTGCATCTCCTCGCCTCCTCCAGACAGGCTGAGAACTCCACCGTCCTCTCCCCATCAGATACCTGGACACCGGCAGGTGCCCTCCAGGCAGACAAAGCCAGGAAGCGCCCACACCGTGAAGCCCTGTGGGTGCAGGTCCGTCCTCACCTCGTCCACCTCCCTCTTGACGGAGTCAAAGGTGATGTTGAACAGCACTTTGAGGATCTCCATGGCCCGCTCGGTCTCCTGGGGAGGAAGGAGCTCCGGCGGGCTCTCCCCGGGGATCAGTCCCAGGGTCAGCTGCAGCGCGCCGGTCAGCAGGCGCACCCCCTGCAGGTCCTGAAACAGCTGCTGCCGCACGTCCGTGCGAAGTGCCGTGAGCAAGAACAGGAGGCGCAAGTCAAAGAACTGGACGTCGTGCGGGAAGCTGGTCTGGTGGCCCAGCCCCACGCGCTCTGCCAGCCTCACCACCAGGCGGGCCTCTGCCGCCAGCACCTGCGCCACAGGGCTGCTGAGCACGAGGTTGCACAGGCACTTGAGGGACTCGAGGACAACGTCCACGTCCAGAGGCTCGGGGACCGACTCCTCCAAGGCGACGCCGGCATAGCGGGCAAGGGCCTGCAGACTCTGGCGGCTGGTGAAGGGGTCCAGGCAGCTGCGATCCCGGGACAGGATGCGGATGCTCTGCAGCCAGGTGACGCGGCGGGAGGGCGGCAGGCCCCGCTCCAAGACCGAGCCCAGCAGCTCCGCCAGCCTCTGCGGGCAGGGAGAGGAGCGGCTCCAGCAGGCCCCTTCCCCGGGCCACCCACGCCTGCCCCTTCCCCCCGACCCGCACCCACCTTCCGATCCTGCTGCTGGGCGTCCTCAAACGTGAAGCTCTGGGAGTTCTGCGGGGAGACGCGGGAGCTCAGCGGGTGGGGGCGCGAGGGCACAGGACTCCTGGGCCGACAGCGCACAGCGGCCCTCGGGGTGTGCACCCAGCCTCTCCCCGAAACTCCTCACCGCGCGTCGCGCGCCCCGCCGCCCGCCCCTGGCCGCGCACACACGCTCAGGGCCGGCCACGACGCGGGCCCCGCCCCGCCCCTCCCTGGCGAGGACCCCGTTCGCGGCCCTCGCTCACCTCCCGGTTGTACGTGCGCAGAGCCTCCATAATCACGTCCTCCTCCCCCGCCTCCACAGCATCCGCAACCACCCGGGGCTCCATGGCGCTCGCGGGCTCCCGCGCCGGGCAGGCGGGAGCGGCTTCGCTCAGCCGCTCCCGGCAGTGTCCAGCCGCCCCGCCCTGCCCCGGCGCGCGGGGGAAGCCCGGACCGTGCGCGCCGCGCCGCGCCGCAGGGGGACGCCGGGACCGTGCGCGTCTCGCCGCGGGGCGGGGCCAGGGTTGCGCGCGGAGGACGCCGGGACCGGACGCGCCGCGCCGCGCCGCGGGGCGGGACCAGGGCTGCGAGCAGGGGGCGCCGGGACTGGGTGCGCCGCGCAGCGCGGCGGGGCGGGGCGGGGCGGGGCGGGGCGAGGGCCGCGCGTTCCTTAAGGTGGCGAGCTGGGTCAGCTGACTGGAGCTTGGTTTAGCCGGCGGGTCGGCGGGGTTTTCAAAGGTCTTACTGGGTGATTGTTAGCCTGGGGCCCAGTCGCCCCTGACCCTCCTAGGGACCCCTGCTTCTTGGGCCCGAGCTGCCCGCAGGGGAGGACCCTAGCCCGCCGCGCCGCCCTCCCGCGGCCCTCTTGATGCGCAGAGGCGGGAAGGACTCTGCAGCCCCGGACCCCTCGGCGTGTTCAGTGGGGGCTGGAGGGCCTGCTGAGGGCCAGCTTGCTGCTTTCGCAGGGCTCGTGTCCCGAAAGGGAAGACGAGGGAACACGGACATCCGGGACTCGCGGTGGGCCGCAGAGGGGTCCGGGTCGAGTCCGCGCCATCTCTGCGGAGACCGGACGAAAAGAAGTGATCTGGGGGAAGGTCACTCAAAGCAAAAGGAGCGGCCGGTTCCAAGACGGGGATGGCCGCGGTGGGCGAGAGAAACACGTCCCTGCAGCTCCACGAAGGCGGAGAATGCTGAGGGTCAGGTGAAGGCAAAGCCTGACCGTGCGCCGCAGCGTCCCGGGTGTGCAGCCCAGACGCAGGGCGGCCTGGCCCGTGTCCTCTTACGAAAGGCAGCGAGCTGGACGTCCCGGGGTCCGCGCGCTGTCGGGAGCGCTTCACGGCACGGCGCGTCGGCATGCACCGTGCAACAAGCCCCTGTGGGCCGTCGGCCCCGCGCCAGGCCCGTTCCCGGTGCCGAGTGCGGAGGCGGGAAGCCCTGGCTCCTCCTGTCCCCGCACGCCCACCTCCCGTCTGGCTTCGTTTTCCTGCGGAACGCGTCACCCCTGCATCTTCGGCAGCGCTCGCTGGGGCCGGCACTGGTCTCCACCTAGTCCCACAAGCAGCTGCCGCGGCCTGGATGCGCACCGCAGCCTGGGCGGGGTCGAGCGCCCGCGGCGGCCCCTTCCAGCCTCCCTCGCGGCGGAGGGGCCCGGGAGCGCTCGCGGGTAGGACGAGGCTCGGTCTTCCGCGCGATTGGCCGGTAGAGGTGTCTGTCCACGCCTCCACGCCGTCATTGGTAGGGAAAGCACCCGCGGCCCGCCCCCTCCCCAGACCGGACGTGGGCCGGAGGCCGGCAGGAAGTCGGCGGCCCGAGCGGAAGCGGCGGGGTCGGAGGTTCCTGCCCGGGACTGCGCCACGTCCGCGGGGGCCGTGGCCGCGCGGCTGACGCGGGCCGGGGCCGGGCGCGATGGCGGACTGGGCTCGTGGTGAGCGCTTCTGGGGCCCCGGAAGCTGGCGCTGGGAGAGGGGGCTTGGCGTCCCGAGAGCTCCTGTTCTCACCCGGGAAGCGGGCCGCCGATGCCCGTGTCGCCGGGCCGCTGGGACTGCGCGGTTGGGCGAGCGCGGAGCGGTTTGTAGGGCGTCAGCGTCCCTTTCTGTGCGGTGCGCCCACGGCAACTTGTGGGGCTGTGCCGCGGTCGGGTCCGGCCCGCCGAGGCGTCCGGGCCGCGGGGGAGGTGGTTCTGACCCCCTGAGGGGACAGGAATTCGGAATCCCCAGGCCTCGCACTAGTCCCGTGTCAGGTCTCCGCACGGACCGTGCTCCGGGTGCCACGTAGGGTGTGGGGTGCAGAGGCGCGCAGACCTCAGTGGACCTCAGCCCGTTCTTTGGTGTCGCGGAGCTCTCCTCCCCGTTGTTCCCCCTCGGTCGCTCGTCGGCTGCTCCGGAGCCAGCGCACAGGTCGTCCCTGCAGGGCCCCTTCTGCGGCGTCCCCCGGGGCCAGAGTTAGTCGTTTTTCGGAGGACGGGCCCCTGTAACTTGGTGACGTCTGTGGAGGGAGCGGACAGGTTCTGTCTCAGTCTCCGAAAGTGCTGGTAGGCCTGAAGCCTTTGGGGCACCTGGCCGTCGCGGCTTGGCTGTGTTCACAGGCGGTCTGCTCACACGGCAGGTGCCCACACGGTGAGGTCCCTGTGCCTGACCCTGGCTGTGAGTTGGACCTGCGTGACAGCCGGGAGCCCAGTCCTCTGAGACTTCCAGCTTGTCGGATAGAGCTGGAGTGAGCGCCCTGGGGCCACGAAGGGCTGATGGGCACGGGTCCAGGGCCGGGCCCACAGGTAGACGTCCCCCCACTCAGACTGTCCCTTCCGACAGCTCAGAGTCCTGCCGCTGTGGAGGAGATTCTAGACCGGGAGAATAAGCGGATGGCCGACAGCTTGGCGTCCAAGGTCACCAGGCTCAAATCGGTCAGTGGTGGTGCTGCCTCCTCTCCACCTGGCACTCTGGAGTGGGGACCAGAGGGAGGGTCGAGGCTGGGAAGGGTTTCAGGTAGCTCCCATCTTCCTTGTCTCCTCCGTGGCAGCTCTCGTCTGTGAGGTCCAGGGGGGCAGCTGGATCTCCTGATCTCTGCTGGGGGCACTGTGCCTGGCAGAGTTGTTGGCAGGGTCTGCTGGTCTCCTGGGGGGTCAGGTGCCATCTGGTGTGCCTTCTCTGACCTGACCTTGCCCCCCCTGTGTCCTGACCAGCTGGCCCTGGACATCGATAGGGATGCAGAAGACCAGAACCGGTACCTGGACAGCATGGTAAGGGTCTGCAGTGTGCGCGGGCATCGCGGTCAGCTCTGCCCCATGGTGCCTGCTGTGCCGGCCCCTGGTGTTGCTTGTGGCACCTGCGTGGCAGTCGTGGAGGTGCTGCCCCTGTGTGACCTTGCTGGGATTCCTCCCTCAGGACTCGGATTTCACAAGCATGACAGGCCTGCTCACGGGGAGCGTGAAGCGCTTTTCCACAATGGCGAGGTCTGGGCGAGACAACCGGAAGCTTCTGTGTGGTATGGCCATGGGCCTCATCGTGGCCTTCTTCATCCTCTCCTATCTTCTGTCAAGGGCAAGGACGTGAGCCACGAGGAGCTGACTTCTGTGGGTGCCTGGGGCAACCAGGGCCTTCCCCTACCTGGTGTCCTAGGCTCCAGAGGACCCACCTACAAAATAGTCCTTTGAAATGATGATCGTGGCTTGGGAATTTTCTTCCTGTGTGGCTGGAGTTCCCGGCTGCCTCTGACCGAGTGAGCTCATACTGGCTGGCCCCATGCCCCGAAGGGTCTCTCTTTCTTGCGGAAACCAACGCCCACCCACCTGTGCTGCTGTGGGTGTGAGAAGGCAGAGTCCAGTGTGAGCAGAGCCTGTGGGAATCCGGGACACGGCTACCTGTGGCCAGCAGCCCTTCCCTTATCCCTTGGGGCTTTGATATCTTGGGGCCCTGCCCCATCCACATCTCTGGGTAAGGCCACGTCTGATGCCTGAGGTGCCGACACAGGAAGGGGGGTTTGGCAGTGAAGTTGGAGCACCATCACCTCAGCTCAGAGATGGCAGCTACTGTTGGGGGCTAGACGTGGCAGCTCATCTGGGCTGCTGGGCAAGGGCAGGTCAGCCTCGGGGGAGGGCAGGGTGTTTTGGATGAAGAAGTGGACTGCAACCTTGACTGGAGGCACTGGGCTCTGATGCTTCTGGATCTCACAGTCTTGTATCAGTGGGCATGAAGTCCCGTTTTCTCAGGATTCACGGTCTGGCCAACACCAGAGATGGATTTGGGGAGACCAGACGTCTAGAAGCAGTTCCCTCTGGCATCCTGGAGTCAGGCAGGGTGTGTGTTGGGGGGAGGCGCTCTATGGGTCAAGACAGGAGGCTTCCCTACAAGGGCTCTCTCTATAGGATCTGCGGGTCGCTTTGAGGGTCACGTGAGGCCCTTCGACAGTGAGCATCCCTTAGTGAGGGAACTCTTAGTCCCTCCGCCCGGCCTCTGCAGACTGCCCTCCATGCGTGCCTCTCCCTGGGCACTCCCTGCCCGCTTGGCCAGCCCCATGTTCACACAGACAGAAGCACAGGCCCAGCTGGGCCAGCGGCTTCCTACCCCATGGTGAGGTGTCGGCACCCTCGTTGTGCATAAGCACACGTGAGAGGCGATCGGTCAGCTGTGCGTTCTTCTCTGTCCTTGTTGCCATCTCCTGCCTGCCTGGTCACTCCCCTGACTCCCAGAGGACTGTTGGCGCTGCCCCGCACTGCCCGCTGTGCAGTCCCCTGTGTGACTCCCATACAGTGACCGCACCTTGGCTCCGGTCACCTCCCTTTCCCTGCCGCTGCTCCCTGCTCTCCCTTCTGCTCTTCCTGTCTCTTGTCCGTCGCGCAAGCCTGGCCTCTCCTCACATGGTCACCGTAGCAGCTTCTCTATTGTACCTGCTGGGCCACTCAGCCTCCCGGAGGAGGGGAGCCTACTTTCCTCCTCCTGAGTGCTCTGTTCCGACTTGCCCAGGTCCCTCCGGGTGCTAGTTCTCATGCGGGGAGGTCAGCTTACCTGCCTCCTTGTCTGGGGGGCTTTGCTGTTTCTCCTGACACCTTGACATTCCTTCTCAGGCCCCCATGGTCCTGCCTCCCTCCCCAGTCCCCACGCACTCTGGCTTTGAGTTAGCGATCTCATGTTAAGGCTTGCCACGGGGGCATGTCCTCTGGTTGACCACCAAGCATACTAGGCCTTTGTAGTGTCTCCATTTGCACCCACACTCTGTGTCCCCACCCAGGCCTGTGCTGCTGACCTCTTCCTGATGACGTAGCTCGGCTGTGGGAGCTGTACCATGCTATGGGTTCGATGCGGGCTAGATTAGATTTTGTGTTTTGGATAGTCTTGACGGGTGCTTTCTGCTGTCCCCCTGACACCTCAGGCTGCTGTGTTCTCTCCTAAAGCCCCATCTGCCTCCCCACCCCCACTTCCACGGCTCTTTGTGGTCCTTCCAGCTATTTTGGGGTCTGGGTTTTAGTTCCTTTCTGGTTTACCTTTTCGTTTCTCATTCTGATTGTATTGGGATGGATTCCACGATGGGGGTGTGGCAGCTCTGTTGTGCCCTGGGTGGCCTGTGCGGCCTTCCGCCCTCCTGCCCCTTCTGCGGCACTCGCACTACTGCTGTGCGGTCTGCTGAAATTGGTCCCTGAAGCCACTGAAAGAAAGAGGACCTCAGGGCCCAGCCTATGCCCACTGCCAGGCTCTATCCTACAATTCAAGGACAAGACTTTTAACCATAGAAACTTGGAATAAACAGCTTCATGATGAAGTAAACAGTCTTTTGGTGTCCTCGTTTTCTTGGGTGCTTGAGAGTTTCGTCTGGAGCTCACCCTGGTCCACAGACTGGCCATGGATGCTGGTGGTCTGGACCCCACATCCTGCCCTCTCTGGTTCTACCTGTCCCTGCCCTGGTCCTCACGTGTCCCTCCCACCCCCACCTCAGGCGGTGGTCACAGGCTTGTCACTTTCTCTGCCGAGTTTGTGTAACCCCAAGGGTTAAATGAATAAATGGAGCTCAGAACACAGCCTCATGTGGGGAGGGGCAGCAGAGTGAGGGGTGAGGGGGTGAGGGGGGAGGGGCAGCAGAGTGAGGGGTGAGGGGGGGAGGGGGGAGGGGCAGCAGAGTGAGGGGTGAGGGGGTGAGGGGTGAGGAGCAGCAGCCATACTGTGCTTCGTTCCGATACGGCTGGTGGGCTCGCAGGGATGACAGGTGGGGGCGGCCGCCCTACGGTCTTCACAGTGACCTTTCCGCAGGGCTGTGGTGAAGTCGACGCTCCAGTGCCCAAGGCCTGGCCTTGCACTCCGGGTAGCCTCTGGAGATGCCTGGCTTTGGCTTCATTCAGATACCCCCTTCCCGGCCCACATCCTTGTGCTTCCTGTGTTGCCTTTGCTCTCAACATCACCTGAAACCTTAGTCACAAGTACAGTAATTCGTGTCTTACAGTTAGTGTGGCTGGCATTCAAGACGGGCATGGTGGGGTTGGCCCTCCGCCTAGAACATTAAGGCCTGGGCTGCAGACGGAGCCTGGGGCTGTTGTCCTCTGAAGGTTTGCTCAGGTACCTGCAGGCTGAGGGCGGCGTGCTGGCTGCCTGGATGCCGCCGTGGCCTCACCGAGTGCGGAGCGCGCACCTCCACCACGGCGGCTGGTGCTGGAGGGAGCAAAGGGAAGGGGCTGCCTCTGCTCCACAGAGGGGCTGTCTCCTTTGTAGGTCCCACAGGCTAGCCTCGGGTCATGCAGTACTGCTTCCTTGAGGGTGGGCACAGATTCTAGTCCAGATTCAAGGGGCGGGGCACAGAGCTCACAGGGGCGGGTCTGTCACGCAGGGAGCAGGCCCCACGGAAGGAGACAGGTGCTGGTGTGACCATCCTCGGAGTGTAGGATGAGATGTGAAGTGCAGGGCCTGTGGCAGAACTAGAAGGGCAGGTGTGGCATGGGGTCCAAGGTCCCAAGCCCCCCTCTCTGCTCAGACCCCAGTCCCTGGAAGCCAGGAGAGGACCCAGCCACTGAGGCAGGAGCCCCTTTTCTAGCAAAGCTTGATTCCACAGCCAAGACCAGTTCGTCACTAATGCAATCTGTGATTTATTAAATATCTGGGCACAGCAGGAAACAAGATAAGCAAATGGGAAAGCATAGAAAAAGTAACTGGTCACGACTGTCCAAACAAGCTCTGCCCTGCAGGCCGCAGCCCACCTGGTGGAGGCCGCCGCGCGAGCCCACACCCAGAGGCCACACCCAGGGCATCTCCAGCGGTGGCTGTGCTGTGCAGAGGCTCTGGGCATCCGGCTAGGGTGGGCCCGGGGCTATTCCACATCCACCACCAGTGGTGTCATGTAGTCGGAATGTTTGATGCCGAAGGTGACGACAGGGGCACAGGGCTTGGTCACTGTCACCTGGGAGAGGAGAGGCTGTGAGAAGAGTTGGCATTCCTGCCCCGCCCAACAGACTCCGCCGTCCTGGGGCTTGAGCTGCTGGCAGTAGCTTCACTGTCCCTCCTGAGCCTGGGCCAAGGTGACCGGCAGCAAGTCCACGCCGCCGGGTTTAAACACGGAGGCTGGTGCATGGTGAATGCCCCTGCTTTCTGGGGAGGCAGGACCTGACCCTGGGGCAGTGGTGTGCCCTGGATGCCTAGCATGCCAGGCTGGCACTTGCCAGGCTGGCCACTGGGACCCCCACGGGCTCTTCCCCGCCACAACCACTCTGGGCGTGCTCCCCAGCTACTCAAGTCCTCTTGCCTGTGCCCCGCCAGGCCCTACCCCTGCAAATCCCCCCACCCTGGGGTTGTGTCCCCAGTAACCCAACCATTCTGGCCTGTGGTCCCTGCTCCCCAGGCTGTGCCCCCACCCCTCTGGGTCGTGTTCTTCCTGGACCTTCTCAGGACTGTGGGCTCCTGGTCCCCAGGCTGTGCCGCCCCACCCCGGGCGGTGCCCTACAACCCCTCCCCACTGGGTTGTGACCACTGCCGTCCCCACTCCCTCCTCACTGTGATCCCCCCCCAACCCCTCATCCCACCCCTCCAGGCCCTGTTCTTCCTGGACCTTCTCAGGGCTGTGAGCTCCCGGTCCCGGCTTGAGGGTCTTGTCCCCTGGGGCCTCCGCTCGGGCTGCCATGGTGTACTGTGGAGCCTTGGGCTTCGTCACCTGCACGTCCGTCTGGCGGTAGGCTGCAGGACCTGGGGTCTAGGAGGTGAAAGAGGCTCAGAGAGCCTCAGCCTGCCTGGGCATGCTACTTCTGGCAGGGGGCGGGGTGCCAGCATCGGGCCATGGGCTTCACGTTTGAGCCACTGTATGTCTGTGTGTCAGGGGTCCCTGTTGTCTCCACAGAATAGTCATCCTGTGGGGATGACCTCTTCTGTGTGGGACGTGGCCCTTCCACGGCAGCCTCGCTCTGGAAAAGAGACCCCTGTGTGCCAGTCCCAGGCTGGTTGCTTTGGTGTGTGCCAGAGAGGCCCCTTTCCAGCTGGGACTCTGTCCTGTGGTACTTGATGGCCATGGGATGGGTGGGCAAGGTCAGTAGTGCTGGGATGCCACCTTGGCCTTCTCCCCAGGCTCCTCAGGCTCCCGGACACATGCCCACCCCAGGGCCTTTGCACTGGCTATTTCTGCAGCTGGAGCCCTCCTCCCCCAAAATATCTCATAGCTTTTCTTCCCATCTTCCTGCATGCTGCTTTATCAAAGGCTGCTCCTTGTCCTCCCTTCAGCAAAGGCCACTGCCCTGCTCAACCCTCCTCAGCACTATCAGTGTCTGTACCCCTGTCCAATGTCTGCCTCTCCTCACCCCTAGACTGGAACCTGGGGTGTGTGTGGGTGGGGGTGCGACAGGGTGGTGCCAGGCATGTGGCAGGGCCCAGAGGATGAAGATCTGACCAGCTTCACTCTGGTGGGATCTGGGCGACGGGGCCAGAGGGGCCACCCCTGGGGGATGAACTGTGCTGTGCCCTGGCAGGGGGACCCTTGCCTTGTGCAGGTCGTCACTGAAGCTGCCCAGCTTGCTGCGACCCTTGATGGAGAATGAGGGCTGGGAGGCCTTGCCGACAGTGTGGGGCCCCATCACCACAGGCAGCATGTAGGCGGCCGGGCCTGCGGGGCACATGGGCATTGAGTCTCAGGCTGGACAGAAGCCAGCATCCAGACTCTCCACTGGCTCCTTCCCTGGGGCCTTTCGCCTCCAGGAGAGCGGCCATCAGGCTGCCCTGTCCCCGCTCCCCCAGCCCCCCGCGCCCCTGCCAGCGTCCCCAGCCCAGCTGGATGTTGGCTGCCAGGGCTGCTGCACACCTGGGGTGCTGTCCACTCGAAAGGTCTTGGTCCGGGCGGAAATGGAGTGGCTGGGTGCTGAGTCAAACACGTGCTTGCTAGATTTCTCTGGAAAGTAGTCACCTGGCTCGGGAAAGGAGTGGAGGGTGTGCTGGGAGGGAAAGGACCATGCAGACGGGCTGCGCATCCGGCCCAGGAAGTCCCCCAACACTGCAGGTGCAGGGCTTCCCGGTCCCCGTACAGATGGTGCCTGAGGTTGGTCAGGGATGTCCGGGGCTGCAGGAATCAGGGGACAGCTGCGGCTTTGGAGGGAAAAGGGCAGGCTCTGTTGTGGGCCTGGTGCCGGGACTCAGGCCAAGAAAAGCTCGGGTCGGAGTTGGGCTAGAGGGTCCCCTACGCTGCCTCGGGCCTGCTGGTGTCCCTTGTGAGGCAGATGAGGGGATAGGAGGCCCAGGACGCCTGTGTTCCCTTACTGCCCTGCTGTTAATAGGACACACAGTAGCCGTCGGCAGAGTTGGGCAGGGCTGCGGGGGCCCCAGAGTCCCTTACCAGGGCCAGGGGTCGTGATGGTCTTGGTGCGATAGCGCCCCAGGATGGAGTAGGCAGGGCCGAGGTCCTTGCCCGTCCTCAGTATCTTGGGGTTCACACTGTAGCGGGGCCCTGGGGAGCAGTTCTCTGCCAGGAGCATGGGGGCCCCCCGGAAACTGTAGGCTGGTGCGCGCAGCTTGGTGGGCGTGTGCCTCACAAATCCTGTGGGACAGGGGCTCTGAGCAGCCTGGAACCAGACACCATCCTTGTCCCCACCCTATTGGCCCCAGAGGGGTTCATGGGCTGCGAGCCAGGGATGAGCCCTCAGCCCCACCCCACACACCCACCCCTCAGACCTCCCAGACCATCCCTACACTCTCCCCGGACCTGCACCAGCCTCATTCCAGGCGCTTCCCAGATCCCCCCAAATCCTCCCCAGACCCATTCCAGGCTCCCAGGCACTTACCTGTGGTGGGTGGAATCAGGTACTTGGGCCCTGGGCTGCTGTAGAGGGCCATGATGGGCCCCCGGGGGCGATGGGGCCTCCAGGTGCCCACCCATACTTCCTCTGCCATGGCTGGCTCTGTCCATGGAGGGGAGGGTGACCAGGTGCTGGGAAGACCCGACTCCTAACCCCATCCCTGCTTTGTCCCCACTGATAGGCAGAATTTCAGGCCACAGTCTCCTCAGTGAGGTCTTGAGCTGGGCCCAGACTTACAGAACTTCTGCTTCGAGTAGGGGGCCTTCTGTACCCCCACCAACCCTGGAGAGGAGGAGCACCAGGCCCTTGTGTACATGCCCAGAAGGACTGTCTCTTCCAGCCCTCGCAGACCACCCCTCCCTGGTTCTAAGCGGCTCTGGGCAGGTTCCTCCTACTCAGAGGACTCTGGGCACTGCTGGGCAAGGAGCGGTAGGCAAAGATGGGAAGTTCCTGGGTGAGGCTGTGCCATGGGGGGAAGGCGGCTCCAGAAGGGTCCTCACCTCTGGTCCAGGAGCTGCTTTCAGAGCAACCTATGGACCAGGCCTCCTCAGAAGTGGTCCTGTCACTCTGGCCTCAGTGCCAGGGAGTTCCCGAGAAAGGGGCATGGAGAGGAAGGCCTCTTCCTCTTTCTCCTCTCCCTGGGGGGCTTGGAGAATTGGGGAGGGGTCCTAGCCCCAAGCTCTAGAATGTGGCTCTGTGGGACGGTGGGTTCTAGATCACCATTTGTGTGATGGAGACAATGGCCTCTGCCCAGGGAACCCCCACCCTCACCAGGCATGGTTCAGGTTGGGACTTTGCTCCACTCCTTTGTGATGGGAGGGGCAGAGGTTTGGAGGACAGGAAAAGGGACAGCAAGGTTCTGTACTGAACATGGAGGTCACGGGGCCCAGAACTGGAGTGGCAGGGGTGTGAAAGTTGTGAGGGGCAGAGAAGAACCTAGTCAGCCTGACCCCCAGTGAGGACCACTGATCCGGGGGGAGGGGAACTGAGACACAGGAAGTCTCCAGCAGTCAGGATCCTGGGATTCAAGGTGAGTGTAGGGTTGGTGCTGGCTGGGGCATTGGGGTGGGGAGCTGCTGCTCTCCCTCCCATGCCCCTGCTGGTTGTGCCCGCCCCTCGGAGCATGGCTGCCCTCAGAAGCAGATACGCTTTCTTCTTGACTTTGTCCAAGTTCCTCTTGGGGTTGCGGCTCTGGTCTGCAGGTAGACTCTTTTCTTGGGTGACTTGAGGGAGACGCTTTCAACCCCTGACCTGTGCCTTTGTGCGTTTGTGTCTTGGAATGACAGCCTTCAGATGCAGAGCAGCCCCAGCCGGGCCTCCCAGTCCCGACCACGTCCTCTGCCTGGGGCCCTTTGCCCCTCCCTGCTCTGGGGCCCTGCGCCCTGCATCCCACCACTGCCTCTGCAGGCCTTCCTGTGTCCTGTGTCCACCCACCCGCCTGTCTGTCTGTCTGCTTCGTCTGCACGGGTGTCTGGTGGGTCTGCCCTCTGCGTGGGGCTACTTGTACCTGCACGCTCTGTGGGTGCAACCCTGTGTGTGTGAATTTCCGTGTGCGTGTAGTTGTGTCCCTGAGTGTGGGGAGAGACAGGCGCCCGGAGTGGAGCTGCGGGACGCTTTATTGACTGAACAGTATTAGGGTAAATTCACACATGGGGAAGTGGTAGTGGGATGGCGTGGCCTTGGCTGCTTGTGTAGCTGGTCCTGTGGCTGCCTGGAGCCGTGACTGGGCTCTGCTAGGCCTCATCTTCGCTGCCCAGCACTTGCACCTGGAAGACAGACAGGTGTGGGACGACAGGGCTGGGGGTCCCGTCCTCGGTGAGCAATAACCAGAAAGTGCCATCTCCACTGGGCAGGCAGACCCGGGTCAGCCCCTGGGGGACAGTAGCCTCTGGCCCATTTCAGCCAGTCCTCTCCTACCTCTCCTAGCCGCTGGGGAAGTGGGGCGTGCACCTGCGTGGGTGTGTGTGTGCACTTGTGTGCAGGTGTGCCCATGCATGCGTGTATGTGTAGGGGAAGCTGAGGGGCTCTGTGGGGAGTGAGGTCTGGGACATCCACTCCCACCTACTACGGCCGGTCAGGGTGTCTGTAGGCGCATTGGGGGATAATCAGGAGCCATGGCATTTGGCGGAGGGCCAGTAGGGTGGGGCCGTGGGTCCTGCTGGGGCCATGGGCATTTAGGGACCTGGGTGCCCCCGCCCCCCAGCCCCGGTACCAGCAGCTTGACCAGCTCCGCCTTGTGCATGGGCTGGAGGTCGTCTATGCAGGACTTGAGCTCGGTCAGGGCGGCCTTGGCGTCTGCATTGACGTTGTACTTGCTCAGGGGCCCCTCGTAGAGCTCCTCGGGGGACCCCACCAGCAGCGTTTGCAGGAAGTCCATGAAAAACTCACTGCTGTCCTCCCCGGTGGCCAGCCCTGTGTGGTGAGGGAGGGATGGCACCAGGACAGGAGGTGGCTTTCCCGCCCACGACCCCAGACTTCCCAGAACTCCAGCCTCGGCCTCTAGACCTTCCGCATCCCTCCTTACCTCCCCCAGATCTTCCTCCGTGACAGACCCCACCCCTACCTGCCCACGGACCCCTCCTCTGCTTCCTCCCTCCACTCTGGGTTCCCCGGAGTCTCTAGGGAAGGACTCCACTCCCTCACGCAGCTGGGACTTCCCCTCCATGTGGGGTTGGCTGACCTGGGGCTTGGAGTGTGGGGGTCAGGCTGGGCTGGGTTGGTGACGATAGGGCTGGGGGGGAGGTTGGAGCTGGGCTGCGCGGGGCTGGGCTTGGCAGGGGCATCAGGGTGTTCTGTGATGGAAACTGATAGGGCCCCTGCCGAGGCTGTAGCCCTCCCTGCGAGGGACCTGGTGCCTGGGTTTTCAGCTGCCTAGGCCCCCCTCCATCCCCCAAACAGGGGCCCTGCTGACAGAAGCACAGACTCACCCCAGGAGCAGAGCAGGACGAGGGCCGCCAGCAGGAGGGTGCTGCTCCCCTTCATGGCAGACAGCGGTCCCTTGGCAGCTGCCTCGGCCGGCTTTATGCCACTCCTGGGCTGGAGGCGGGACAAGCTGCCCGTCAACACCTGGGCAGCCGGGGGGCGTGTCCTCACCCCGCTCCCCGGGTGTCAGCAGTGGAAGGCTGGGGGCACTGTGGGAGGGGGATGTCAAGTCAGTGGGGAAGGACAGGAGGGGCCAGGACGCCGCAGGCCTCTGGCCATGCCTGCTTTGTGGCTGAGAGTGGTGGGGTCTGGGGTTGGGCTCAGGTCTTTCTTTTGTGGGTCCCCCCTCTGCTTAACATGCCTGAGGGTCTCCCCGGGCCAGGGGCGGGGGCTTCCTGGGCCTGTGGATCTGGGTGGTGGGAGATGGGCCAGGGCCGCAGGAAGCTCAAGTGGACAGTAAGGTCCAGCGTGAGGAGGTGCCTCCGAGAGACTGAGGGGCCAAGAGCCAGACCAGCCTGGGGCCTGGTGGGAGTATCCCACCACTGTGTGGGGCGGGGAGGGGGCCGCATACTGAGACATAGCCTCCTTCTGCAGCAAGGCCAGCCCTGGGAACCTAGGATGGGGTGGGGGTGCTTAGATGTTAGAATGGAGCTGCGGGCCTGAGATGTCTAGGTCCCCAGCCAGACCTGCCCAGGAGCCGCCATTCCCGGCTGGGACTCTGGCCCTCTCCTGTCCCCTGCTGCCACCTGGTGGCTGATGGCGTCCTCGGGTGCCCGAGAGGACTCATGGGTTTAGCCGCCGAGGGGCTCCTCATTCAGCATCTGGGGACGGTTTCCACCTTCCCCAAAGTGCTCTGGCTTGATTACTCTGGTGTGTGTGTAACCCTTGGTCACCCTGTCCCTCACTCGTCTCTAGCTGGGCCTAAGTCTGTCACAGACCACAGCCGTTGTCCTCTTGACAAGGTGTATTCTGAATCCTCTTGGCTGCTGTGGAGTAAGACCCAGCGATGATAATCTACTTATACACAGATTCCATGAGTATGGGGCAGAGCACGTGTACTGAGGTCACCCGTAACAGCCATGTGGCCGCCTTGGTGAGACTGTGCTCGAGGCCACGTGGAGCCCCTGTTCCCAGGGGCCCCAGGGATCACGGATTCTGGCCTGGCCATGGCCTCACCTTTGCTCTGATGGACCCATCACCTTCTTCATTTAATTTCATTAGATTATTGAAGTACAATTGACCCAAGATGTTACATTAGGGTAAGGGTTACAGCTTAGTGACTCCCCAGCTCTGGGCATTACTCAGCCCTCCCCACAAGAAGCATAGCCCCTGTCTGTCCTGAACAAAGTTCCTACCATGCCACTGACTATTCCCTCTGCCAGGCCTGTCTCCTTCCCCTACCCCCCACCCCGTATTGGTCTCTGGCCGCCTGTTGTCTCACCGGGCAGATGTCTAGCGATGCCAGCCCCCGGGCTTCAGCGTCGCCCAGAAGCAGTGTTCCTGGGGGTACGGCCTGGACCTCGGTGGTCTGAATCCCTGCAGGTGGTTCCGACAGTCAGGGCCGGCTCTAACGGAGACCAGCCTGCCCAGCTCTTCTCCTTCTCTGTTTTCCTACCAAGTCTCCAGAGCGTCGTCCCTCCCGGAGGTGGACTGGGTGCCCCCGTAGCTTTTTTTTGGGTTGTGGTTGTTGTTCTTCTCCACACCGCAGCCCCTGAAAGCGGAAGCTGCTGGTGGCTGCCCTGCAGCCCTTGCTGGGCTGCCCGAGACACACCCTCCAGCCACCTCCCAGCCCAGGAGGATGGAGAGCAGGCCTCCTCCGCTGATGACTCCGATTACCAGCGATGGGGACTTTGCTTGCACATCTCCAGTCCATCACCCCTCAGCATTTATTCATGCTGTAACACGACCCCACTTCAAGCAAACACAGCAGAACACAAGTGTCCCCTTGACACTGGTGACGGAGGCCTCCCTTTGGCTCCGCAGACTCTCACCACGACCCTGTATCTTCCTCAGTGCCCTGGGAGGCTCCTGGCCTGCTGTTTTCTGGTTCGGTCTGGCTGACAATGGGGAACCAACATGTTCAGCATCCATTAACTTTTCAGGGATGGATCTTTATTTGATCAAAAATCATACTCAAAACATTCTACCCCCAAAGCCCACATTCTGTGAGTTCATAAGGTGTTTGGTACAATTTTCACAGATGTGCAAACACCAAGACAGTATTTGTTAATTATGGTATTTGTCTTCACGATCCGCAGAGCCCCGGTTCTTTCAGTGTTTGAACGATGGCTTGTGCCTCACAACCTTCTGTGTCCTAGTGAGGCTAAGTGGCCTCCTGTTCCTGCACAGAAACGTTAAGCCCATTACATATCGAAGGTGTCAGGCAATTTGTCAGACTGATTCATGGAGTCAATGAGCTGGGGGAGACAAGAGGAGCTCCTCTGTGGCCAGATGTTCTCGGCTGGACCCCTCCCCTCACGGCCATTGTATCCGACATTCTGTTGGCATCTGCTCATGATGAGCCCCGTACGATGCACGAGAGAGAGCATAATCCTGAGTCCAACACATGCACTGGTGTGCAAGCCACAGGCTCACTGCCTCTCCAAGCACACCGCTTGGTCAGCTGACGTTCCTCAGGAAAGGCATGGACACTGAGGAGAGCAGGGTGTTGGCTGAGGTCCTGGTGCCTGCTTGACACTCTGGGATGCTCGGAGCCCTGTTCTCATTGTGGCTGTGCCTTCAGGACACACAA